AGGGATTGGAGGGTCCTTCAGGCCTAGAGAACCTCATGCTCAGGGCTTGTTGGTGCAGGCAGCATGGTGCCTGGGGTAACCTGCAGCTGCTGAGGCTGGCTGGGTGTTAGGGTGTGAGGTGAAGGATGCGAGATCAGTTGATTAGAGCCTTAGGCGCCATGTAGAGACATGATCCTACTAGCTATAGGTGCTGCTGAAGAGTTTCAGCCTCTCCCAAGTGGCTGGGACTGCCCTCCTTGCAGGCTAGGGGTCCATTGGTCCAGTTGGGTAGAGAGAAGCAGGCCTCCCATCCCCTCAAAACTCTGCTCAGAGGGAAGGAGGGGAGGGAAGAGGGGAAATCAGAGCTGAGTAGTACAGCCATCAAAGTGAGCTACACCCAATGCCCTAAAGGATGATCAGGGGAAAGCAGTCGTTTCTTGCACCCAGGCTGAACTCTGTCAACTTCCCCTGCCCAGGAAGGGAGAAGACCCACAGTTCTTGTCATGATGCAGCAGGAAACTGACCCCCAGAGACTGTCTATTTCACGGCTGCTGGAGGCGATCTCTCCCTTCTCATGCAGACGTCTTAGGATATGTGCTGCCCCTGCTGTTTTTGTGCTTCTAAACCTAAAAGTGGCATCCAAGTGTGCACACTGGCAGCTTAAGCTCCTCTGCCTGTATGTAAGGAATTCCTAAATCTTTGTGCATCTTTGCTGTACCCCCAAACTACAACAGGCATTTCCTAGTTGTTTGTCCCACTGAGGCATGCTTCCTCCCACATGCCCTGCATATTCTGACCTTCCATGGTGCTCAAACCTCTCTCACTCCTGTTTTTTTTTTAAAACACTGCCAACGCTCTCTGATTTCTCCCTTTCCTGGACACTTGTTGCAACACCAGGCAATCATTTCCTATCACCTCTCCCTCTCCCCTCTGGTAGTTCTGTTGCCTCAGTTGGAAGGAAATATAAGGCCATTACAGTCAGAGAAGAGCCTTAAAAGCTGTTGTTTCCCCATCAACTTGGGAACATAGTACATTCTTTTTTTTTTTTAATTCTCTTTTTTGGGGTCATGTTTCTTTTATATATTTATGTTTGCGTTGCTGCACGTGGGCTTTCTCTAGTTGCGACGAGAGGGGGGCTACTCTTGGTTGTGGTGCGCGGGCTTCTTAGTGCGGTAGTTTCTCTTGTTGCGGAGCATGGGCTCTAGGCGTGCAGGCTTCAGTAGTTGTGGCACGCGGGCTTCAGTAGTTGTGGCCCGCGGGCTCCAGAGCGCAGGCTCAGTAGCTGTGGCGTATGGGCTTACTTGCTCCGTGGCATATGGGATCTTCCCGGACCAGAGATCGAACCTGTGTCCCCTGCATTGGCAGGTGGATTCTTAACCACTGCACCACCAGGGAAGCCTCATAGTAAATTCTTAATAAATATTTATTAGTAGATTGATGACTGACTTTGGAAGGTCCAGACCGCTGTGGGGATCGTCTGTGCCAAAGTCGAGTAAGTATTTTCATTTCCTCTAACTGTTTTCAGCAGACAAAGGTCCTGTCTAGACCTCAGTCTCTGTGGAAAGAGTGGTCCTGGGGGGTCAGAGAGGCTGAAGGAGATGGTAGGCAATGCGGCTGGGATATTGTGGGATGTTGAATCCTGACCCCAGATGACCCAGGCTGCAGAGCTGTGTCCCCATACTCTCCACTAAAGAGAGCACAGCTGCACTGGGAGCGCTGGGCAAAAATGAGGTCAGGTTCTGTCAAAGCCAGTACGATTCACAGGCGAGCTCAGCTTGCTGGATTGACAGCAACTGTTGAGTCATTACTGCAATTGTAGACATGAACCGCTTTACCTGCTGGGAAGAGAATTTAGGATAAACCGTGAACTTCAAAAAGTTTCTGCCTGGAAACTGAAGAGGTAACCATGGCAACCGGGAGGCAGGCTGAACTTGGAGAGGGCTCTTCGTCTTGAGCAGGGAGCTTTGTGCTCTTGGCTTTGCCCATCTGTGCACCATGCATCAATTCCTTTGTCTCTTTCGCTTTCTTTGTCGAATGAAAAAGTACTAGCTCGGGAATCTGGAGATTCGGCCCAGGGTTCAGCTGTTTTCAGCTCCATTGCCTTTAACTAAGGGCCTTTAGCACTGCCGTTTTGTTGTCTGCAGAATGGAAATTTAAAAGCTCCTCTGGCCTATTCACAGGGAATGCAGAAAGGACAGGAAGGTTTGAGGAGGTTTTCTGCCTAATCACTATTATTGTTGTCATGTGGCCACGTCCAGTCTGATTCCAACGTGGTACGACTGAGGGTAAGACCGGGGGTTCGATCCGTCCATAAACTTGCTTTTATTGCTTGGAGAAAAGCTGTCTCAGACACCACCCACGTCCCCATTCGGCAGCTGCATAATAAAAGCATATGCACTGGGGCAGAAGCAGCAGCAGGTGACAAAACAGCCCTCATCCCAGCTGACGAACTCCTCCAGCAGAAGGGCCTGCTAATGCTGCCAGGTGGGCTGCGTCATCGTGTGGACCAAGGGCTGTCCGGAGAAGCAAACGTTCAAAAAGGCATCCTTCCGTTGCCCCCCTCCCAACTCTTGCCCATCGCCCTGCCCCACACCAATCCAGCCCTGGACTTGTGAGAAAAGTAGAACAAGAGCCCAGGTGGGCCAGACGGGGTGCAGGTGGGAAGCGGCATCTAAGATGGTGCTACCAATGCATGAGCTGCTGCCTCGCCTGTCCCTGTGTTCCACTAACCACCGGGAGGCTGGGGAGGGTTCAGCTCTGGCTTCAGAGCGCATTAGGTTTTGACTAACTGGATCATCTTCCGCAGGCCCTGGCTTAACAAGGGAATCTGCTCTGACAAAAGACCCCCCATATTGTTCTGATTGGGGCCTCTTTTCCTATAGCGGTGCCTCAGCGGCTCTCTCACAGGCCTTCCTCCCCTCTTCCCCTCTGTGGTTTTCCCCTTTCCTTCCCTGACCAGCTTTTCTGGGACTTCTCACTGGCTCTGTCAGGTGGAACCTCTTCACCTCTGGTTTCCGACCCTTACTTCCAGGCGCCGCTGAGGAATAGCAACTCTTAAACGCCCCTCATGAAATAAACACCTAAACTCCGAGAGTCACAAAAAAAACTTGCTACTTTTCCTTGTTGTCTAGCAACCCCTGTAACCCTACTAAGTAAACCTGAGAGCCGAGGTTGACTGAGCGCTGACTACGAGCTGAGCTCTGTCCCAAGCACCTTCCAGGTGTGGCTACAGGTGCTGTGGTGTGTCTCTCAGATCTGCGTTTGGGACCAGGCCCTTATTCCCCAGGGTGCTGGCTGCTGTAGGCTCACAGCCGTCTCTCCCTTAACAGAGGGAATTGCCTCGTTTAAAATTAGGCCGTCCAATGAACTGTTGATGTGGGATACAAAGGCCCGGCCCCTTGCTTCACTGCGGGTCTGCTCAGAAGAGTCATCCCACTCCAGAGCACCCCCTGGGACCAGCTTCCGGCATTCGTTTCCTCCCTCTGCCCAAGCCTGCTTCCCTCACACCCTCTTAGTTCCCAGAACTCTCCCCAGCAAGTCTCTGCCTCCGAGCAACTAAGTTTCCCGTCTCCTGGGGAATTCAAACTAAGAATTACATTTCTTTAGTCCTCACAACAACTTTATGAAATAAGCGCATCATGTTTTCCGTTTTAGAGACAAGGAAATAGAGGCATGGAAAGGTTGAGAAACTTGCCTAAAGTCTCCCATCAGTAAATGGTGGAGCCCAGATTTGAAACTGAGAAATCTATCCCTAGATGGTACACTCTTAACTTCAAGTGCAGCCTCTTAACAGCAATCCCAAAGGGAAGTGAGGGGCAATGGGGAGGCTGTGATGCCTTTATGGGAAAGTGAGGAGAGAGGCAGAGCATTTATTACCTTTATCTCAGAGATGAGGACGCCGAACCAGCTAGCAACTGCTTAAAGGCAGGGTCATTCACTAGTTCCGGAGGTGGTGGGATTCTAATCTGCGGAGGGGCAGTGAAAAAGCATGGTAAATTCATATTTGACTTCTGGCAAAACACTTAACTGTGTGACTTAGAGCAAGTTATTTAACCCGAGTCTTAGTAAAAAAGTACACAGTAGGGCTTCCCTGGTGGCGCAGTGGTTGAGAGTCTGCCTTCCGATGCAGGGGACACGGGTTCGTGCCCCGGTCCGGGAAGATCCCACATGCTGCGGAGCGGCTGAGCCCGTGAGCCATGGCTGCTGAGCCTGCGCGTCCGGAGCCTGTGCTCCGCAACGGGAGAGGCCACAACAGTGAGAGGCCCGCGTACTGCAAAAAAAAAAAAAAAAGTACATAGTAGATGCTCAATAAAGCCAGCCACCACCCCCAACCCTTGTCTGCTATTTCTAACTCTGATCTTGGGCAAGTCTCTCTAACGTTCTGACTCAGTTTCTTCATCTATAAAATGGAGGTGATGATGACAAAGGGCTTACTTAGTTGACCCGTGGCCATTTGGGTAGGAGCACAGTAAATGGAAGTTATCAGTATAACCATGATGCTCTCTTGCCTGGCTTGCTTCCTGTGCTCCGGTCCTGCAGGACCCAACAGACTCAGGCTCAGGCTGTGCTCGACACCGTGCGTGCCTCCCCGAGGAGGCACCTCAACACCAATCCTCCTGGCACCGCTGAGTTGGTTTCCTGCTTTTACTAGCGGCAGAAGGTGGTTTTTTTTTTTTCCCCCTACTAAACTGGGTGTGCGCTTCTCTTCTCCGTGTGAGTTCTCTGCCGCTTCTCCCTCCCCACGCTGGTGTCCGCCAAGAGGAGGGGATTAGCCCCGTGAGCACCCCCGCGGTGTGAAGGTTGCACGAGGGTAGCGGCGCATCCCGGGCAGCGAGCCCCACCCCGTCGAGCTGCAGGCCCCTCCTACGCCTTCGCCCGCGCTCAGTACCGCTCTCCAATTGGTCGGCGGCGCGCACCCCGCCCCGCCCCCTCCAAGGCAATAAAAGCCGCTGGCTCGGCGCAAGCAGCTGAATAAACCCAATCTGCGCAGAGAGGCGCTGCCCGCTGCTGCTCTGCCTCCTTGCGCCCTGCGTTGCCCGCTGGAGCCCGTCACCATCCTCCACACGACGTGCTGCCCTGCACCCGCAGCCATGTGCCGGACCCTGGCCGCCTTCCCCACCAACTGCCTGGAGAGGTAAGAGCAGCTTGTCCAGCTGCCTGGAGGAAGAAGAACAAGTCCCACCAACCTTAGGGAGTGCAGTGGCGGCAGGCTTGCAGACCTGGGTGGGCTGGAGAATGGGACGCAAGTGACGAGAGGCGGAGGTCAACTTGGTTCCACGTTCTCAGATGCCTCTTTAGAGTCTTAGAGAAGGATGGGCGACGAGAACGGAGAAGGCAAAGCAAAGGGAAGCAGAGGGACCACTGCTTACTGCCATTCCCCACCCTCTGACAAGTGGCGCTTCTGCTCAGGTGACCCAGCTTCAGGAAAACCACGGTGGCATCACCAGGCAGAACCGAGTCTTCCCCGGTTTCTTAAGCACTTGGTTTTCATTCTAAGTCATAGGTCTAGGGGCCCTCTGGCCCTGGAAAGGCAGGCAGGTGTTTTTCAGCAGCTGCCCCTGTGAGGGATGTGCCCGCTTCCCAGGGAGCTACTCACCCACTCCAATCCTTGCTGGAGCTGGGAAGGAAAAAGTAAAGAGGAAGGCAGAAATCAGCTTCCACACAGCTCCAGAGATACTTGTGACAAGTCTAAGAGACTGCTGAACTGCCTTCTGCTAATCAACAGGCACAGAGATGGATCAGTGGGACTTAAGTGGGCAAAAGCCCACGTGTGCTGTACTGTAGACCCAGAAAGTATAAGACCTACCGAGGCACAGCCTAAATACTGCTTTCATTGTTTCTGGGTTCATGATACCGCTGAGAGAGGCAACGTTTAGGCCCTGGGAACAGTTAACGGGTTCCCAGGAGCCCCAAGGCTGGAATTTGGGTGACACTAACCTGAGCTCTTCTGGGACCTCGTAAATCTCTCTGCCCTGGCTGAGCGAGTGGAGAATCCTCACAAGCTCGTGCTTTGTCTTCCAGAGCCAAAGAGTTCAAGACACGGCTGGGGGTCTTTCTTCACAAGTCAGAACTGGGCTCCGGTACTGGGAGTGTTGGCAAGTTCGAGTGGGACAGTAAACACAGCAAAGAGGGGTAAGTCCTGCTGAAAGCCTAGGGCCCCTGGAGGGAGGGAGCCAGATTCAGGAAAGGAGTCCTGAGAAGGAAAATTCCGGGAGAAATTAGGACATGCCAGCGTGGATGTTGGTGACCTTTTCCTAGAGATTGTAATGGAGCTGGTCATAGCCGGTCTGCTATGGATGCCTGGCTCATGGGTGACTGCGTGGATGGCTCCAGGCTTCTAATGCCACCAACAAATGAAGATACCCAGGGCCTGAATGTCTAGTTACCAGACTCTCGCACCTGGAGATGTCATTGCACATGCAACCAGGGCAAGGGCAGGGTCCAAGGCCACTGGAGGGTTTTAAATTAGTGACTACTTCCACTGACATGCACTTTACCTGGAAGCCCTTTTATACTGACCATCAACTGTGCCAGGTGCTGCGTTAGGCTCTGGGGTTATGGGTAGACATAATCTCTATTCATAAGATCCTTATTTCCTTAAGAAAGTATACAAAACAAGCTCTGAGAGTCAGGGGGATAGAAAGAATTTTGGACAGTGAAGAAGACAGTCTTAGATACTTAATGAGGGCCAGAAGTTCCCTGCTTTGGTTTCTGGTTACTGAGCTGTCCTCTAGAAAACACAACTATTTCCCTGAACCCCAACTAAGAGTTTGAGGCATCAGCTCCAATAATTATCCAATTATACAATTGTGTGAATTATACAACTTCCATCAGCGTTCTGGCTAGGATTTGTGCTGTGCAGTAGTTTGTTGATTTTTTTTTTTTTAAATTAAAATCCTGCCTTTTTTTTTTTTAGCAGAAACTTCTCAGAAGACGTGTTGGGGTGGAGAGAGTCATTTGACTTGCTGCTGAGCAGTAAAAGTGAGTGGGGCCCTGTTGTGTCTGTCTGTGGATGGCACATGTGTGCCCATGTGCCGTGGAGGCAGCCTGAGGATGCTAAAAGTGTGGGCAAAATAGTAGTAGTAGTAATAATAATAATGATCCCCTAGTGTGCCAGCCTCTATTCAGAATACAAAGGCAGGTCCTTGTTGGAGAAAATTACATCCTAAAAATAGACCATTAACTACAATTGCTGTCTTTTCTTCTTCTATTCCCGGCTGGCTGTCCCCGCTGTCTGACCTGTCTCTTTCTCTCTCCCTGCAACCCCAGATGGAGTGGCCGCCTTCCACGCCTTCCTGAAGACAGAGTTCAGCGAGGAGAACCTGGAGTTCTGGCTGGCCTGTGAGGAGTTCAGGAAGCTCCGGTCAGCTACCAAGCTGGCCTCCCGGGCTCACAGGATCTTTGAGGAATTCATCTGCAGTGAAGCCCCCAAAGAGGTCAGAGCCGTGACATATGCCAGGGATCCTGCAGACCCTGCCTGCTCCTTCCCCACTGAGAATCGGGGATGGTGGGGGGCCAGCAAGGAAAGGGCCGAGTTTAGAAATACAGTGGCCTCATTTGTCACAGGAGGCTGGAGACTATAAAGCCAGGCTCCGGGCCACCCCTGCCTCCTTTTACCCTCATACTCACCAGTGGGACCGGAGGGGTTGGCAGGGGTTTTTTGGCTTCTGTCCATATGCACTTCTGTAAACGAAGTCCTTTTTAGAGCTCAAAACACTTACACAACTGGGGAGACAGGTCATCATAGGATAACCTGGCTCAGTCCCCTTGTTGACCTGCCTCAGGTCTGTGGTCTGTGGACCTTTTAACCTTCCCCCAGGCCTCCACTGTGTTTGATAGAGAATATGGCGCCACCTTGTGGAGAGAGAGTAGTAATGCCTTGCTTTTGTATCTGTACAATATATTTTCTGAGCACTTTTATTTATTCCATAAAGATTTGTTGAGCATCAGTTACATGCAAGGCAGTATTATAGACATTGAGGATATGGAAGTGAACAAAAAGTCTCTACCCCAGTGGGAGAAGGTGACAATAACCAATTAAGTAAATATTGTCAGGGAATGATCTCTGCTCTGATAAAAACAAAGCAGGATATGGAAGGGAATACCAGAGTACGGGGTGGGAGGATGTGAGGTCTTTCCGATTTATAAAGGGAAGTGAGGGGTGGGCTGTTTGATAAGGTGACATGCAAACAGAGACCTGAAAAGGAGGAAGGAACATTCTAACACAGGAAACGGAAAGTGCAAAGACCAGAGAGTGCCTGTTGTGACCACAGACCAGCAAGTGGGCCCATGTGGAATGGAGCATGAGGGAGAGAGAGTGGGAGATGATGTCACACAGGTGGCAGATGGCCAGGTGCCGGCCCAGGTGGCCGTGTGGGCTCATTGCACACTTGGGTTTTTCCTCTGAGTGACGGGAGACAACAGAGCTGCTAGCAAACTGACTTGGGTTTTAAAAGGCTCGCTCTGCTGGGTGGAGAATAGAGCCCAGGGTTAAGGGGAGAAGAGAGAGACACCAGGTAGCAGGCGCTGGCACTAGTCTAGGACAGAGGTGATGGTGACTTGAACCCGGGTTGTTACAGTGGAATGGGTGAAAAGAGGTTGAATTTGTACCCATTCTCAACATATCCTGGGTCGTTCTGAGAGACTGGAGGACAGACACTGGATCAAAGGTGGGGACAGGCCCAGAGTTGAAAAGCCCGTTGATGGTCAACTCTGGAGACCCCCGGTTCCGTGTTCGGAATCCAGTGCGCCTTCACTGCCCCACGTGCCAGTCCTCCCGTGCCTGCTGGCCTCCTGCCTCTGCCACCCCGTGCCCTGACGCCCACGCACTCACGTGCTTGCCCTCCATCCCACAGGTGAACATAGACCACGAGACCAGGGAGCTGACCAGGACGAACCTGCAGACGCCCACGGCCATGTGCTTCGACGTGGCTCAGGGGAAGACGCGCACCCTGATGGAGAAGGACTCGTACCCGCGCTTCCTGAAGTCCCCAGCTTATCGGGACCTAGCTGCCGAAGCCGCGGCCGCCTCCGCCTCTGCCTCCCCATCCGAGCCCTCGCATACCTGAGCCTCCAGGCTGGGAGGGGGCCGGCCAGGCAGAGAGGTTGGGTCGCCCGTAGCCGAGGCGCCGCCGCCGTGTGGGGGGGCGGGTTCTGCAAAGCCAGAGAGGACAGCGAAGGGAAACGCCCACCCGGTGACACCCTCTCCTCTAGACCCTGCGGGACTGAATTCCGTGCGTGAGAGGGTTCCCCCACTTCTAGGACCTGCGCCCAAGGGCTGAAGAGGAGGGTTGTGTGTGGCTCTCTGGGGGAAAAGAAGGATGGTGCAAGAGTCAGCATCGGCTCTGGCCCTTCTCAGCGGGGCAAGGGATATTCCAGGGTGCTTTGGGAAACTTGTGGATAAAAGGAAACTTGAAAATGAGTGAGGAAAAGACAAGCAGGTTAGCCGTTCTGCCTGTCCGTCGGTGGACACATCCTGGTTTCCTGGTTCCCAGACTGTCCTGGGCACACAGGGAACCGTGGATGTGGAGCCTTCCCATCCCGTCCTCTTCACCTGCCTCTGGGCTGCCCGGCGGCTTCCTTAGCTTGCATTTCTCAACACTCCTGTGTCCAGCCTGGCAGTCTTGTCAAGGCCAGAGAACCAATGTGATGCTTGCCCCAGATGAGATTTTTACCTCAAACACTGGCCTTCAAGCCCCTTTCCAGATCAATAGAGAGCCCTGAAAAGAGGCCATCTTGCTTATGTGAAATGAACCTTGGTGCTCCTGGTGGCCTCTTGCGGGTGCCCCGACCCTGTGTGTGTATCAGGGTCCACCTGTGAGCAGGGCCCGCTGAGGACCTCTTGCTGGGATGTGCCCTGTCTTAGCTCCGTGCTGCTGTTGAATGTGGGGCCCATCAGGAGAAGGGCATGGGGCCTCTTGGTGAGCGGCTAGTCCAGCTCTTTTGCCGGGCAGGGTGGAAGGAGGGAGAAAAGGATCCTGAGAAACAAATCTCTTGGCAGTTCCAGAGAATCCTCTTTAAATCAAGCTCATCTTTTATTTTTGTGGGTATGAGAACAGCGAAAAAGAGATTCCCCAGGATGGAAGGGGAGCCTCGTGTTTCTTTCCTGTGGATGTGAGGTAACGCTCACTGGGGTGTTGGGAGAAATGAGGCAGGGACCTCAATGAACTTGGATGGACCGTAGAAGCTGGGAGTGAGGCTGGGAAGAGCAGGACTGGGGGCAATCAGAACCCGCTGGTCACCTCATGGCATCACTGAGCACATGTTCCGTGGTGGGACTTCTGCCTGGGCCCAGGCTGGGGAGGTGAATTAACCGGGCAGCTCCCCTGTGCCCCAGGAAAATCCACACTGTTCTCTCTGCGCTATGAGCTCCTCCAGGAGACAATTATTTAAGTCTAACATATTGTTGGTTTTGTGACAGTGGTCATGGCACATTATTTTCACTGCTGTTGTCGTGTTGTTGTATTGTTATTTACTGTCATTTGAGTTTGCCTCTACTGGAGAATCTCAACAGGAGCTGGCGGCCTGACTGTCTCCCTCTCCACTGGACTCTACCTCTTGAACATGCTGGGAACCTCTTAGCGCCTGTCAGGAACTCCTCCCTGTTTAAATATTTATTTATTGTTGACAGCTGGAACTGGTTTTCTGATGTGAATGATGTACTCGATCCCCATTTTCCTGCTTCAGCATGTTATTTTATTGTGAAATAAAATAAAACCCAAGTATGAGATCCTGTCTCCAAGGGCTGTGTGGTCAGGGGAAGAGGGAAAGGGAAGTACGGGCGGGAGTCTTGTGGGAGAGCTGGCGTCCGGAGATGCCATAGGATGCATGGGGAGCTTTCGAGGTACGGGCAGAGGTGACTGTTCAAACGGTGGCCACCAGAATGGGTAACTTCATTCAGCTGGTGACAGCCCAACTTGTGTCAAGCCATTGTGTCGTGTTGATTGGACCTGGCTCAGCTGTCATTTCAGAGCCCATCTCCTCTCTCCACCCGGCCCAGCACAAGCCATTCCCAGTTCTTCTTCGAACAGAGCAAGGGGTGGTTGCCCCGGCCAAGTAGCCACACATTATCAGTTGCGGGGGGACTTTTGTGCCATTTTTACCTTTGCCCATTTTCAATTTGCATTAGTATCCTTTTAAGATGTCATATAAATTCAGGGAGTTAGTATTCCTTATAATTTCATAGACGTCTCTGAGATGAGCTTTGGGAAGCCACTTGGTACATGGGACTGTTCCATTCCCGGGGCAGAGGGAATGAGAGGTTAGCGCTGGGCTGGAAAGAACTTTGGGGTAGGCTTGCGAGGATCCAATCTGCTCTCCCTCTGCCGATCACCTACTCGTTCTCCCTAAATTCGTCTCTATGTTGAATTATCTGTTTATATAAAGATAACTGAGTATAGTGACCAGACTTCAGGTACATCGAGTAGAAAACCCCATGGAATCACATTCGAAGCCCAGATCTAAGAGGCGATTCTATGCGTGATGCCAGGAGGGATTCTGAGGTTAAGGGCCTGGAAAGGAAGATGGGAACACACACCGTGGCAGGCCCTGATCTCATTGAGTCCTTACCACAGCTCTGTGAGGTAGGTATAATAACCCTACAATACAGATGAGGAAACTGAAGCTCCTGGGGCCATGGGGGTGGGTGGGTGAGAGGGGAACATGCCCAGGGCAGCTGGCTCGAGAGAGTGGCAGAGATGAGATTGGAACCCAGTGACACCGTGTCGGGGGGGCGGGGGGTGAGTCCAGTCTGTGAGGGATGGTCGAGGGATACGATGGATGAGGGAAGAAGAAAGATGGTACCCAGAGAGGTGGGGAGGTAGGAACCTTGTCCTCTTCTCATTACTTTCCTTCCATCTTTTTGCCTTTTTTACATGCATTTATTGCATCTAGTGCATTCTATGTGCCTGGCAGAAGACCAAACTAGTAGCCGTACCATCAGCTGCAGGTAGCCTCACTTTATGGTGGGTGGGGATTCTGGGTAACTTTAGACAAGGGCACAAATGTGTATTTTCTGAAGCAGTATGGGTGCCCGTAGGAAAACGTGGGTGTAATCGGCTAGTAATGGAGAAATGAATGGGGGTGACGGACATCCAGTGACTGGGGTGGGTGCTGGCAGGCTCCCCAATCCAGCAAGACCATCCTCAAGGCTTGTTCCCCTCTCCTAGCCCTTCTTCTCACATACCGGGTGGTCTTGGAGCCCATGGCGTGGCCTGAAGGTGGTAGATACTCATTAGAGATAAAGAAGAACGACTCTTGGCTGACCTATACGTCTCCCAGGTGTCAGGCTCAAACCAACACAGGACCTCTACTGTATTGGTTCTCAGAGTGTTTAAGGGATTTCCTGAAAATCACTCAGCCGGCAAGAGGTCTCCAACACCTTCAAACTCACTGGCTCTGGTCCTCCCCCAGCGCACTTCAGGCTTTGGCTTAGCAGGCAAAGCACTTCCTGCTTCCAGGCAAAGCACTTCCTGCTTCCAGGCAAAGCGGCCTGCTTATGCCTTTCCGGCCTCTGCTCCCAATCGCTCACCTGCCCCTTGAAAACAAACCTTTCACGGTTCCCAGATTCACCCTACTGTTCAAGCCTCCTTGCTTTTGCCTCCTGGACCACCTCCCTGCTGTGTCCCCTACTCCCGTCACTCCTTCATCAGCCTGGGGACGCATCTTTCAAAAGCCGGCTCAAGGGTCTTTCTGCGGCGCCTTCCCTGAGCCTTTGGGTCTGACCCCTGAGGCCTGTGCTTCATGTGCCCCCACTGCTGCTAACCCTCATCGGAGCACTTACATCCCTCCTTTCTGTCTCCCTTTACCAGACGGCAAACTCCTGGGGTTTAGGCATGTCCCCCTCTCCAATTTTCTACACCCAGGGCCTAGCATATACATGTTTAGCAGACGGCTCTTACGTTAATGATTAATTTTAAATCCAGCAGGAGAAACGTTTAGATGACCATTTCCAACTTCCTACCAGACTCCTCTCCCTGGACGTCCCACAGGCTCATTGTATGTAGCACATTCAAAACCAAGGTCATCATCATCCCCCTCAGATATCCACAGCCTTCTGGTCCTGTAACCCTGATAAGGAGAGACGCTGCTTCTCCTCCCGGCTCACCGAGACGTCTTTATAGTTTTTTTTTTTTTAATAAATTTATTTATTTATTTATATTTTTGGCTGTGTTGGGTCTTTGTTGCTGGACATGGGCTTTCTCTAGCTGCAGCGAGCGGGGCCTACTCTTCATTACGGTGCGTGGGCTTCTCATTGCGGTGGCTTCTCTTGTTGTGGAGCACGGGCTCTAGGCACGTGGGCTTCAGTAGTTGTGGCACGTGGGCTTCAGTAGTTGTGGCTCACGGGCTTAGTTGCTCCATGGCATGTGGGATCTTCCCGGACAAGGGCTCAAATCTGTGTCCCCTGCATTGGTAGGTGGATCCTTAACCACCGCGCCACCAGGGAAACCCTCACTGAGATTTCTTAGAGGAACCTTTCATCCTCTTCAACTTAGGCTATAAAAACGACTTCCCACCTGGTGCCCCTCCCCAGTGCTCTCCCCCTCCAGTTCATTTTCCATGCCGTGTCAGTCTTTATCCATAAAGCACGGATCTGAGCACGCCATGGCTGCATTTAAGCCCTTCAGTGGCTCCCCTTTGAGTATGAGAGAAAGTCCAGCTCTTACAATGACATACGAGGTTCGTGCTGACCTGACCCAAGTCCCTCTCCTGACTTCGTCCCTGCCTAGATGGCCCTTACACACATGCTGTTCTCTCTGCTTGTAATGCCCTCTTTGTCTTTCTTTTAATTAGGGGTTGGGGGCTGAGGAGGAGAATGCCCTCCTCAAAAGGCCTCCTGAAAATCTAGCAAAAACATCACCTCCTCAAGTGAAGCCTTCCTTCCCAGACATCCACTGCCCAGAGTTCATCTCTGCCACTTCCATGATTCTAGGACACCCTGTCCTAACCTTGATCGCCTCATGTGTGACATGGCACTGTCACTTGCCTCTTCACAGCTCTTTTTCTTTCACTAAACCACTCTCTTCAAGATGGGGAGCCACATTATTTGATAAGATGGGGCAGAACAGACCACGGCTGAGTGATACACAGCCCAGCTCGTGGGGTTGGAATGTTGGGGCTGGAACTGGCCCCTTCGCTGTATGACCTTGGGAAGCTACTAAGCCTCTCCAAGGCTTACTTCGCTCATCTGTAAACGAGTGCAGTAAGAGTGCACCCCTCAGAGGGAACACGGAATGAAAGAAAAGTGGCACAGTGCTGATATCCCACGAGTATTAACTATGATTGTTATCTGATTCCAGGTACTCAGCACAGTACCTTGTACACAGTCAATAACTATTTATTGACTTTTTGAAAAGAATGGAAGAGTCACAATTCAAAGCCAGGATTCCAAGTCTACTTTCCCAAGTATAGTACAGCTGTTTCCATACTGTATTTTATCTGATATGAAGAGCATTCCAGAATTCCAGATGAGGAAATCAAGGACTGAGCCATTAAATCCAGACAGTACTCACTCAACCCAGGCTCGTGTATTTCCTCATCAGTGCTGTTGCTTCCGTGTTGGCTGTGGAGGGCTCTGGCCTATCCCTCACCCTCTGCTGCCTCCCTGTGGCCATGTCAGGTCAGGCTATACAAACTTTTCCCTTGGAACTGCTTAACTTTGCTTGGAGTTGGCTCTAAGCAAAGGAGTTGGCTCCTTCCTTTGGAATTGTATCCAAGAGGTATAACTTTTAGTTTTGTTTATTAATGCAGTTTAATAAAGATGTGACATTTCAATAGAACTGAAAATTATTAGCATAATTGCTAAGGTACCTCAGGGGGTACAGGGGTTAAAATTAGATTTCTTTAGCCAACAGGGCTGAAATCACCTTTAAAAACTGAAGCTCTTGGCGTGGATGTAGAGAGAAGGGAGAACTTGTGCACAGTTCGTGGGATTGTAAGTTGGTGCAGCCAGGATGCAAAACAGTATGGAGCTTCCTCAAAAAATTAAAAATAGAACTGCCACTTGATCCAGCAATTCTACTTCTTTTTTTTTATGGTAGCTATATGAGATAACGGATGTTAACTAAACCTATTGTGGTAATCATTTCAGAGTGTATGTGAATCAAGCCATCATACTATATAACTTAAACTTCTAGAGTGATGTATGTCAATTATTTCTCAATAAACCTAGAGGGAATTCCCTGGCGGTCCAGCGGTTAAGATTCCGAGCTCCCAATGCCAGGGACCCAGGTTCGATCCCCGGTCAGGGAACTAGATCTCGCGTGCTGCAACTAAAGGAGCCCACATAGGACAACAAAGATCCTGCATGCCGCAACTAAGACCTGGCACAGCCAAATAAATAAATAAATATTTAAAAAAAACAGTACCTACCTCATAAAGATTAGATTATACGATTTTATATATATATATATATATATATATATATATAAAGGGCTCAGAACAGTTCCTAGAGCATACTAAAGAGCTACATAAATGCTTGCTACCATCACCATTCTTCTTCTTCTTATCATTATTATTAGTTCAGGTAGCAAAAGCGGCATGTGCAGAGACATGGTGGTGGGAAGCAGTGTGATGTGATGGGGAACTGGATGGTAGTAGTGGTGATGCCCATGAGGAATCAGGACAGTCAGGGACCATATCAGGACCTGAAATCATGTTACATATTGCATTTCTCCATTATTTATGATCTATTTCTGCCTACTAAGATGCAAGCTCCAGGAA